AGGGCTCCGTTTGCCTAGAAAAAGATGAGGAGGCTGCCACTGTCCAGTTTACCCTGGGGAAACCGGGGGACTGGCTCACCTGGTGCTGTGGAGCCTCCTAACGCTTTCAGTACACAACTAGGATCAACTGATTTGCCCGCGTGCCCTTGGTTTTCAGTTCGACGAGCACTGTAAGGATAGCTATTAGAATAAAGTCTCTAAACTACCTGAAAAAGCTCCTCTTACACAGACATGGCTGCTGAAAAGCGATAATGCACCATGTGACCAAGGAACTGACAGGGACAGACGTGGAATGATACCAGGTCCAGGTGGACATCAGCCCTTAACCAAGATGCACAGAACTAGAATCGCTTCCGGTTTTATATTTTGGGATATTTACACATTCCCGATGAGACATCTTGAGGATGAGACCAAGTCTAAACAGGAAATTCATACACACATTGACAAAGGTGTTTTTTTTGTTTTGGTTTTTTTTGTCCCAGGGGCACTCAACCACTGGGTCACATTTCCAGCCTCTTTTGTATTTTATTTGGAGACAGGGTCTCACTGAGTTGCTTAGCACCTCGCTGTTGCTGAGGCTGGCTCTGAATTCTCAATCCTCCTGCCTCGGCCTCCCAAGCTGTTGGGATTGCAGGTGTGTGCCACTGTGCCCAATTAGCCCAAGGTAATTTTACAGAATAATTTTTAGTGTCCCTTTGTTGTGACTATGACCTGTCACTTGAGTGTGCAATTCTGTACTGACCTTGAGAATGCTCCTCGGCCAACTTACATTTCACCTGCAAAGTGAGCACGATCATGGTGACCCTATGTTCTGAGAGGTCCACGGCCCAGGGCCAGCACGGAGTGGGTACTCCACCGCCAGTCATTTCCTACTACTGCCCGCATCCGTTCTGGCCCTAACCCTGGTCTTCACCGAGGACTTTGAGGTCGGTGGTACTAGCCCCTCCGGACCCACAAGGGGCTGAGGTACAACAGGTGACTTTCCTAAAATCACACAGCTGAGGGGCCAGAACAGGGAAGTTAAACAGGCCAGTGATGGCTCCGGGGAGCAGGAGGGCCACACGAGGGCCTATCCAGCAAGTGTCAGTGCAAGGGAGATCCCTGAAAGGTTGGCTTTGGCTTATGTCACTGAAAAGCTACAGGAACCCACAACAAACACCTAGCAACACTCCAGCCTCCACGGAGGTCACCGGCAACAGCACCCTCCATACCAACAGGTCACTAAGAGCAAGGTCTCAAGCTGCATCTCGACGCTGTGATTGTGTTTTGAAAGTACTGGAATGATTAAAGGGTGAGGGGGATTTTAGTGTGTGCAAAGAATCTCTCCGACGTTCGTCATGGTGGAGCCGCAGAGGAAGAGTCCTGGGAGAGGAGGCCCTGATACGGGGGCCTCGAGAGGTCTCTGCACCCTGTGTCACAGCCTTGTGGAAGCCACTTGGAACGTCTGACATACTACCTAGAACACGGAACTCGCTGCTCTGAAACCACTGAGCTCTTCAGGGCACAGCCCGACATGACCAGAGGGTGTCATTGACATAAGCCCTGCAAGTCCACACACATCCATGTGGTCACACCCAGAGGGTGCATGTCCACACACGTGCATGCCCACACTATCTGCCTCTACCTGTGTACACGTACACGCTACACAACTGCACGGGGTGGGGAGGGGTATCTCACAATGGTGAGCACTGCAGGTCAATGTTATTAACTCCTTTTGGAATCTGTAATTTCCGCATTTTCTACAGTGAACACTTGTGATTTAGAAGCTTTACAAAGCCATGTTTACCAGGACGAGTTCACAGAGGAGACCCTGGAGCCGCGGGGTGGGTTCCCACTGCTGGAGGAGCAGCGCCCCTTGACCTGGCACCCCAAGAAGCAGTGCTTTTAATGTCACATCTCCACCTTGCACCCCCAGTGCCCCCAACCCTGCCACATGCCCTGAAGTGTCAGAGGCTGCCTGGCTGGGACCCGCCCCGCTCCACCCTGGAGGGACTTCGTTTTCCTGGTAGCCAGCGTCTGCAGCAGGGAGGGCCAGCGCCCCTCAGGCTGTCATCTATCGCTGAATAAAGACCCTTCAGGGCTTCCAAAGCGGAATGTGCACAGGAAACAAATTGGGGAAATCCTGCTTTCTGTGACAGGAAACGGATCCTCCCCCAACTGGTAGAAATTACGCCGGCAGCTCAGCAAGGAACAAGGAACAAGGAACGCTGGTTTCCCTGCGCTGTGTCCACTGACCCCGCCACCGCTGGCCAGGTTTTATTGATATTGAATTTCAAAGGTACAATGTACCCCAGCCCAGCCCATGCGGAATCCTACCGGGATCTGGAAACACTGCAGCCTTCTGAAAGATGCCACTTGAACTAGATTTGGCCCCCTCTGGGTCACGTGACGTATTTCTATAAACACGCTGGTATTTTGCCAAATCCTTTGAAAGAAGTCAGAAGGCAGAAAATTCCTAGCGGCTGCCCCCTCTGTGGGATTACGGCTGCCCCTTTCCTCATCGGTATTTTCACATGTTCCTCTATAGCCACGAAATAACGAATAAATAATGACAGGGGCGTAAACACGCACCCACAGCCACCAACAGGGTGGTGGTGCTGGACTCCATGAGGACACCAGAGACAAAGGAGAATGGCTCTGTTTGTGGTTTGTTCAATCGTGACTCAGAATCTTAGAAAAACAAGAGGAATCTGCAGCAAAGCACCATTAACGGACAGAAGAGATAAAGCGCTATTCACGCCCGGGACAAGAAGCCCAGGAGCCCAAAGCACTCCACGGAAGATTTACCCTTCTGGAAAAACCTCTGCACAGCCCTAAAACAAACGTATCAGAGTTCAGTGGGGACAGCGCAGGGTGGACAGGCGGAAGGACCTCCGGAGAGATGCGTATCAGCGGCGCCCACAGGCACAGGGCTGCTGAGGTCCTCCTCAGTGCAGACCCCATCAGAGGACGCAGGCTCCAGGAACCACCACGGACATGGTCCTCGTTCACAGCTGAATCTCCTCAGCTGTGTAGCATGCGCAAGGCCCTGGATTCCATCCCAGGAACGCAAACAAATAAGTAAATAAAATGACATTCCGTGGTATCTGCTCCCACTCCCAGTGGGCAAAACAAGACCCAACAGAACAAACCCGAGGAGCCTCAAGAAGTTACGAAGATGAGCTGCAGGCCCAGCAGGTCAGCAGACCACCCCTCCTGACCCCTCCCCCTCTGCACACACTCCCAGCTCACAAGTCGGGGGCCGGGCAACATTTCTCTCTCCTAAAAAGCCTGGCTCAAATGTCAACGGTCACGGTCACGGGTGAACTGGGCTCTATGGCTCGAGCCACCCCACCTGCACCCAGCAGTCTGCAAGGAGGAGTCTCCAGATGACAAGTTCCGACACCTGAGGACAGGGAAGGCTCATCCCAGTGCCCTTTCCCAGCTTGGAAAAGGCCCTCGGGTGCCCTCGCCAACAGGCTCCGAGATGCTGCAGATTAGCCCAGACTTTCAGGCACGTCCTTCACTCAGTGAAGCCCCCCTTCCCAGAGGGAAGGGAAAAGAACCGGAGACCTGGCAGCATGGGTAGAAGAATAAAACGGCTTTTTGAAAAAGCTGGAAACACTGGCAATTGGTATCATGAGCCTTAAAAATACCCAATCAGACCACCAGGGTTACCGCCTGCCTACCAATGTCCCCAACAACCCTATGGTGGATCCCAGGGTTCAGGGACATAGAGGCAGAGCCAGGAGCGGCCACCCACGGGTGAGGCTGGGACTCCAGGATTCGGGTGCTCTATGCCTCACCACTCCAGGGACATGGGCTGCAGAGGCAAAGACTCCGTGTGACGAGCCCTCAATACCTGTTCAATGAGGAGCCCCATCGCACCACTTCTAGAAATGTTAGGTCAAGTGTGCTCACTGCAAAACGCTTCTAAACACGGTTGCTAAAAATGGGGACCAACCCAGACACAGCGCTACCCACCTGTGCCCTGTGACTCGGGAGGCTGAGGCGAGGCCCTCAGTGAGACCCTGCCTCACAATAAAAGATAAAAAGGGCTGGGGATGTTGCTCAGTGAGTGCATGCCTGCATCCAACCCCAATACCAAAATAAATAAGTCATGGAAATGAATATCAGGTCTAACCAGGTTCTAAGGACATGAGCACAGATAAAGATGTTAAGGCACACACGCAGCCACCCTGAAGTGCTGTTAACCATGTTTGAGAAAATTGGCAAAGATGAGAAAAAAGTAAGTGAAAAAAAAGTGGACACGAAACCACGTCTACACGAGAAGTCCCATCTTACAAGGACATCTGTATATACATGAAAAGACTGGACGGCCTGCTCAAACCCTGGCCCTGCCCCCCGGGGCTGCGGCTACCAGACCAGCTGGTGAGGGAGATGGCGAGCAGCCCTGGAGACAAGACCTCAGCGGAGTGATCACAGGAAATGCCACCAGGAGCAGAAGCCACCAGTGTCAGGGGCTCCTGACAGCGGGCACCCAACAAGACAGAGCCACAGTGCACAGCCCACAGTCCCCAGAGGGCACTTCCGAGGGGGCCGATGTGACCTGAACACTCATAGAGCCAGTACCTGGAGGTGGCAATAGGCTCCTCTTCCTCTTCATGTCTTTCCAAAATATTTGGATTTTTTTTCACACTGAATAAAAATTATTCCTACTGCTGGGCACAGTGGCCCACGCCTGTAATCCCAGTGGCTGGGGAGGCTGAGGCAGGAGGATCGCGAGTTCAAAGCCAGCCTCAGCAAAAGCGAGGCCCTATGCAACTCAGTGAGGCCCTGTCTCTAAATAAAATACACCAAAGGGCTGGGGACATGGCTCAGTGGTCCATTGTCCCTGAGCTCATTCCCTGGTACCAAAAACACTTTTTAAATTGCTCCTATTATCAAAATCAAAGTTTTCTTGGAAAGAGAAAGGAAATGGGAAAGAAGTTGAAAGCAGCGTCACAGACATCTGCGCTCCCGGGGACAAGGACGGAGCTGGCCTCCGCGCCTGCCGTTACCTCGTCGGGGCTGGACGCCTGGTACACGCGGCAGGAGTCCTCATACTGCTTCTCGGCCTCCGCCTGGTCGGTCACGCCGTTGGACTCGTACACGGGCGTCACGTTGTGGCAGAGGGCGATGGCCTTCACGGCCTCGTGCACGCGGCTGCTCATGGTCCGCCGGACCTTGGTGGTGACGGTGGGACCCTTCTGAGCTGGCGGCTCCTGCGACTGCTGCAGGGAAGAAAAGCGAATGAGGACAGGGAGCCAGCGCACGGCCACCGCTTCAGCCCCCGTGACCCAGGTGACGAGGACACCTCGCTTCCAGGAACCTAATCTTTTAACCTCAGCAAAAAACAAACATAAAGAGGGGAAAATTACACCCTGATAAATGAACGTCACTCTGCCTATGGACAGTGTGAGCCTGTCTTCTGGGGACGGTGCCAGGGGTGTCACGGTGAGGACTCTATGGCACTGAAGGGGGTCCTGGCATTGGGGGGCAGGGCTTCTGCACCAGGAACCACCAACACGTGGGCTGGGCCAGTCGCTGCTGTGGACGTTGGCGAGCGTGGTAGACCACCAGCTACCACTGGTGACAGGAGGCCCAAAGTAGGTCACCAAGGGTCCAGTGGGGGACAAAACCATCCTCAGTGTAGAGCCACTGCTTTAAATGTGCCTCCTCTGTGGTGTGCAATGGAAGGTGACGACTTCAGCAGATGCCAACAGAGCCACAGTGGGGCGACCCAGGGCAGGCCCCCCAAGGCGTATCAGTGACACGCAAACAGGAGGGTCATGGGCAGCCGTGCTGTGAGCTCTCTGGGCCTCAGTTTCCTAAGATGGAGAGGGGAGGCTGGCGGGCCTGGTCTTACACAGCTCCACACCCAGCCTAGGAACGCCCTGCAGGGTGCTCAGCACCAAGCGTGGAAGAAGGGGGACGGCAGCACGCAGCCCCCTCCCACCCATGTGACGCACCAGGTGCCACCTCAGCCTGCCTTTGAAGGAAGGGCTCTACTGCCTTGGAGTATGATAACAAGTACGGGACTGGGGTGCAGCTCAGTGCTCGACAGGGTGCTCTGCCTGAGAGAGGTCCTGGGGCCCACCGGCACCAGAAACAAAAGGATAAGACCACTGGGGGAGACCACTTGTTTTTAGTGCCAGGAATCGAACCCAGGGGGTTCTACCACAGAACTACATCCTTAGCCCCTTATACTTTTTGAGACAAGGTCTTGCTAAATGGCTGAGGCTGGCCTTACACTTGTGATCCTCCTGCCTCAGCCTCCCGAGTCTCTGGGATTACAGGCCTGTGCCACCATACCCAGCTAAGACCACTTGTGAATGAGATGCCTTCCCGTGGCACATGGAGCCCCAGCCAGCTTCCCGCTACCTGTCGTCTTCCTCGGTCATCTGCTCCAGCCACACCGGCCTGTCTGTTCTTTGATCTCCCACAGTTCTTCCTGCCTCGGGCCTTGAGCACCTGCTGTGGCCTCTGCCTGGACACATGCCCCAGGCTTCTGCAGCAACTCGGATGTCACCTTCTCAGAGAGGCCCTGGGTGACCTCCCTTTCCACTGCAAGTCACTCACCAAGCACCCTGTGTGTCACCATCTTCACTGCCCACGACTGGCTTCTTGTGCCTGAGGATTCTCTCTTCCATCCCATTGAAGGAACAGAGAGCTTGTCCCTGAGAGCTACTCACCACTGTGTCCCTAGTACCCAGGGCCTGGCATGCAACAGCTACCGGCTGAATGAATGAACAAGTCCATAATCTATATCCCTGAGGTGGCGACAGGGAATTCTCAACCAGCATGGACTTTTCCCCATTTCCCCAGGAGGAATAAATATGAAATTGGCCGGCTGCGGGTGTGGCTCAAGTGGTAGCGCGCTCGCCTGGCATGCGTGCGGCCCGGGTTCAATCCTCAGCACCACATACAAACAAAGATGTTGTGTCCGCCGAAAACTAAAAAAAATAAATATTAAAAAAAAAAAAATAGAAATTGGCCAAGTCAGTTCCAGATTTTAAATCACAGTTTTGAACAAAGGATCGCCTGCAGCAGCTTGAATTCTGGAAGCCAGAAATGTTTAGGGAGCTTCCGAATTCTACATTTAAAAAAAAAAACTTATCCAACAGGAGCTACGTGATCTTTCAGGATGAATTGCGTTTGGTATCCGTGACATGCGGCTGCCCCAAATAGAGAACAGATGGGTCACAAGAAGCAAGAAAATGACTTTCGTTTAATTTTTTAATACTATTTTTAGTAGTGCATTAGACTCCCCAGGTAATTAGACAATTACTAAATTATTCTGGTCACTGTGGGGACACGCCGTGCTCCGGCTTCCGGCTCTGTTAACCTCTGGTGTCAATAGCACACGAGTTTCACTTCCAGGCCAAAGGGCACTGCATGGTAACAATAATTAGAGTAATGAATCAGAACCCCGGTTTCAATGAATCATTATTTGCCAAGTGCTTTTAATTATAAAGAATTTAACTTTAAAATATAAAGAGGACTGAAGATTTACAGAAAAGGTCTCTCCTGGAGAGACCAGCAAGAGTGTTTCCCCGCGGCTCGTGATTTATGTCCTACATAAATGTATCTCGTGCAGCCGCCGACACGTGTCTTCATTTTTACCCACATTCCTTGGCACCTGGGCCGGATCATTATTTCAGATCAGGGGCAATAACAAGGCCTTTGACAAGGTAATTGCCGCGGGTAGCAAGTTTCAGTGAGAGTGGGCTGGACAGGAAGGCAGAGCAAGGGGTGGCCTGGGGACCCCTGGAGTTTCGTAGAGAATCTGATTCCACAGAGGGGAGACGCTCCCCTAATACTTCAATGGGGACAGCACAGAACCCTGGGGTCTTGTGTTCTGGGCAAAACAATGACAACAAGGCAAGAAGAGGAGCAGGCTGCAGGGTTCCCCGAGTCTTTGCTTTCAAACCGGGGAACCGCAGCAGAAAGCCAGAATGGTGGCCCCAGCCAGCATCCCTGGTGACAGGTTTAACGTGGCCACCTTCATCAATTTGTCCCTCACCATCTGCCCTGCTTCCCTACCAAGAGGTTTCAGAGAGGAGAGGGACAGCCACAGGTTTCCGCAGGCCGAGGGGCAGGCGCACGCAGCTGAGCCCCACCACCGACCGCTGAGCGGGCGCAGGGCTGGGTTCTGGGCCCCGTCTCCCAAAGGCCCCCGGTGCCCATATGGAAGAGTTTCACGTTGTACAGTGTTTACCCCTAACCTCCTCCCACGGGCCCTTTAACCTACACACATTTCTTCTTACTTAAAAAATACCAGGGGAAAACAAAAACAGATGTGGCAGCCACGGAGCGGGTTCGACTCTGCCCCGGGGAGAACGCCGGCCCCCCTCAGGAGGGAGGGGCCACACGCACCACGAGGTCAGAAACTATGTCACCACCACCGGCAAGTGCACATGGGGAGGGAAACCAAGATGCTCCCAAAAGGCCCCTGGCAGGGCCCCTGGGAGGGCATGTGGCATCAGGGCACTGAGAGTCCATCCCACACAGCACAGGAGCCACCAGGACTCAAGGAAAAGTCGGCGTCCTTATGTCACCCATGACCGGTGGCAAGGCCACTTTCCGACAAGAATCTCAGGCAGTGTGACAGGAAAGATTAACACCCGAATTCACCGTTGGGTCATCGTGAATCAGTCGTCTTTCCAGATGCAGTTAAAACGTCACCACGCATGAACGTTGGTGATGTTAATGGGTCTTGTGAGAGCGGGCAGTTGGTAGCCACTGCCGACGACAAGGAACTGCTGTGGGGCGGCCCCACCCCCAGAGCAGCTCCCAGCTGACCCCTCGCCAGCTCCCAAGGGTCACGCCATGGAGACAGGCTCAGAGCTGCCGCCACCAAGGGAACCAGCAGGGGTGCAGCGGAGCCCGCGAGGGGCCAAGGCGTTCAGTGAGCAAGTGAGACCCGGACTTCGCTTAAAATTTCAATATTTGTTCCTTGTGGGGTTTGTTTGTTTGTTTTTTAACTGGAGTTGTTTTAAAGATTGCATTAAAAGCCAGTGGGGTGGCACACACCTGTCATCCCAGTGGCTTGGGAGTGACCTGAACACAGAAGATTCCAAAAATAACATATTTTAAATGAATAAAAAGACAAAGTAGGCTCTGTGTCCACAAGAAAAACTCACAGATTAAAAAAAAATTCTTCCTTAAAAAAATATATATAAACTGAGCCTCCTTCATGTTTCCTGTGGACACAGAAAGTGAGACTACCATTTGGCACGCAGGACACAGTGACAAACTGTACACATCCTGTGCACCAACTCACACTTGGTCATGAAAACACTCCGCACCAATTTCAATAAGCCCCAAACATCATCAGAGACAAAATACTACAAGGAAAAGGACAGGCGCAGATGGAACGTGGGTTGAAAGAGTTATGTCTTTTGGAAGATATGAACTGACAGAGACCCAGCAGGTGAGGCGCACCGAGCCCTGGGTGGGGGGTCTGGGTGGGCCCCGCGGCCGCCACAGCACCTCATCTCTGTCTCAGACGTGTGTCAACTAGTCAAACCAAGGCATTTCCGCTTGCTGGGAGGGGGTCAAGTAACATAGAAACTCTAGGTAGGAAGACCAGGTGCCTTGAAACCATTTGGTCATGTACACGCTGGGGAAAACACTGGGGGATGGCCCCCATGCTTGCACATTTACCTAGTAGCAATATTGGGTTCATTTATTGAGAATAACAAAAAAAAAAAATTATAAAATGTTGAAAAAAAATAAGTCTCAATCACCAACCAAAACCTCAGAATGACACATACTCAGGGTAAGGGCGCCAAGAACTACAGATTCAAATTTAAGTTTCAAATCATCATCTCTGCCGTTCAGCAGAAGAGAAGTGCTTGACAGACGCTCCAAGCTGGAGCGGCCCCAGGAACACTGTGCCACGTGGAGGAAGCCAGACAGACAGACGGCCACACGCCGCTGAGGTCCATGACTATGCCAAGTCCAGAGGGGCAGACTCGGGTAGACAGGGTGGACTGGTGGCTGCTGGTAGCTGGGAAAGGGGGTGGAGGAAGGGACAAGGGGGTCTGGGGGGTGTGGGCTTCTCTTCAGGGTGATGGAATGTTCTGAAATTAGCAGCCATGGCTGCACAGAATTGTAGGCAATGCTCAAAACCACGACCCATATGCTTTTTAAAAGGGGGGAGATTGTGGTTTTTAAATTACATCTCGATTTTAAAAACAGCTACCCATAAACGGATCAATAAGCCAGGGGAGCATCATCACCGGGCTTTGGCCTGCTGGGGCCTGACCTCCTGCTGGGCTGACCGTTTCCTTTTGTTTATTTAGCCTGGCATTAATAATCTGCAGTCTCCTGCCGGAATCTTTTAAAACTGCCCCGCCGTCTTTATGAGGTTAGTTTAGTTAAATAACAGCCTTAAAACCAGTCACCTGGACACTCGTAAACCGCAACCTGCCTTTTGACACACTGAGAATAAGCAGCTGTGGAATATGGGGTCCTCCTGCGGGGCCCTTCCAGGACTGGACCCGACAGGTGTTCACCCAGGCCTGGTGGGCGGGCCCTGGGTCACCCTCGGCCCCGTGGGTCAGACCTACATTTTGCACAGATCCTGGGGATGATGGGTGCTCTGACCCTTTCTCCTTGCTCCCCGGTGGGGCACCTTACAGACTCTCAGGTCCACAGCTCAGGTGCTGGAGTTTGAAAGGAAGGGTGAGCCTGAGTCACAGCCACTGTTCTGTGCCCCAACTCGCCTGGGTCACCTGTTACAGGTGGGCGCAACTCCCACGGCTTCCGACTGGTGGCTCAGGTGATGTGGCCCAGGGTCCCCAACACCACACTTTAAGAAAGACTGCTACAGAATCACTGCTAAGCCCTGAAGGCTGTGGAGGGAGTGCCATGGGCCCAGGGTACCTTTGGGTGTGGGGGCATACTCTAAGGGCACGATGGAGACACAACTCTACATCCACTAACAGTCACTGAATTGTGCGCTTAAAGTGGCTGAATTTTGGGGGTGTGCAGTCAGTAAAGTTGGCACAAAAATAGGAGGAAGTCCTCATGTCTTATCACAGAAGGAGTTGTGTGCTCCCTATAGGACCCTGACGTGTCCAGACAGGAAGCTGACAGCCTCCCCGGGTGGGACTGTCCTCTAATATGAGCTCACCCCCAACCCTGAGCAACCGCAGACCCAAGACCTGCAAGGCAAACCCACTCAGGAGCTTCTGCCCCGGAGGGAGCACGCGGCAGATGCGTTCATGACAAGAAATGTTCTCTGACTTTTATCACTAAGAGCACTATCTGCGTGAAGCCACAAACGAGCCACAAAAGGTGAAATACACAAGTATCCCAGATGGGCCGGCTTCTGTCCACGCCACAGGCTCTTTAAAATACCAGCCAGACGGGCAGGGTGCGCCTCTGTGGGTCCACACCGCCACCTACGGAGCTGTCTCGTATAATCGTCACCATGTCAACACACCTGCGGACACTTAGCAGGTGCTGATAAGCAGGACAAGCTGAACAATGAACCCTCAGGAGAAGCCTGGGAGGAAGGAGGTTGGGAGGTGGGGGTTGTTGTGGGAAGAGGAGGGAGAGGCCACCCCAGGGCACTGGAGAGGAAGGAGGGCTGCGCTGCAGGTGTGGAGGGAACAGTGACGATCCAGCCAGGGAGCTCGGTGCTCCTGGGTGCTCCTGGGTTGGAGGAAGAGACAGGGAAGGAGACGGGACACCACTGTGGACAGCCAGGCAAGGGAGAGGGTCATTACTGCCGGGTTAGTGGAGAGGCCTGAAGACAAAAGGCAGGTGGCCTGGTAGAAGCAGGTGCCACGGGCCAAGAGGTGCCTGGAGGCTTCAGGTGGCAGGGAGAGACCTGGGAGGTCCTTGGTGAGTGGTGAGGTAGGTGAGGGGCATGCACTAAGGCCAGCACCTCTGGAAGAGAGGCAGGTGGAGGGGATGCAGGAAGCAACCAGGATCTGGGGACACGCCCTTGGGAGCCCAGCAGTGACGCCACATATGCAGGGTTCGGTGTGCAGGTTCATTCAGGGCTGGAGGCCAAGAGGGAGCAATCAGCAGCTACAGGGGAGGCCCCCAGGGACCACATAACAGGGCCCAGGACCAGCACGGGAGACCCTGAGACAAAACAGCCACACAAGGAGAGAGAAAGGAATGGGCACTGTGTGGCTTGTCCTCCCCATCCAGTGACACTCCTCATAATTTTTTAAATCCTAAAGAACATCTCTGAAAAAGGTCCACGGACCCATTTGGAGACCAGCCCTAATGCTGACCCACGGAGCCTACAAGATTATAAAGGCTTCTCTGCAGTTGTAGATGGCCGACGTCGTGAAACGTGTCCAATTAACTGTTCTCCATTTAACACCCACCCTCATGTCCACTGTTAGGAGGGAGCCTGCAAATCCAGGCTGTCCAAGCCAATGTTCCAGAACATTAAATATCAACTATAACCACATTGGGAAGGGTTCGTGGATTCTGCCTTTAACCTTTACAGAGAGATATTTATTTCTTTTTCTTTTTTCTTTTTTTTTTTTTTTTTTTGGTGGTGGTGGGGAGGGTTATTGGGGATTGAACTTGGGGGCTGTACCTATGAGCTATGTCTGCACACCTTTTATATTTTGAGACAGGGCCTCACTAAGTTACTGAGGCTGGTTCAAACTTGGATCCTCCCGTCTCAGCCTCCTGAACTGCTGGGATTACCGGTATGTGCCACCTCACCCTGCAACACTGACATTTTAAACTGGATTTCTAAGTAATCACTATCTGTTTTGACAAATTTAGGCTAATGTGGCCTCATCATTCTCTTGTTCTCTCCAAACAAGTGTCTCTTCAGCCTGGAGCTGGCCTCATGGAGCATCCCTCTTCCCTGCACGTGCCTCAGAACTACCCAGGGCCTTATGCGTCTTGTCTCAACTAACTCTTAACACAAGCGGGGACCCTGCCCTAAGTGGACCTGAATCTCTAGAGTGTCCAGCCCAATAAAAGCACCACCCGCAATTCTAATGAGCAGCAGTAGTGGGGACCCACTGGCCTACCTTTTAGGAATATCTGTGAAAGAGTGACCGCTTGTAAAAAATGTAGGGGGGAAAAAAGTGAGAGCAGTAAGTTGAGTCTTCTGATAGGTTAGTTTCCTTCACAGATCACCAAGTTGACCACAGACAAGAAACTAAAGGTAACGACACCATGATTCGTGCATGAGACCATCGGTGACCACTGCTCGGCTCAGAGCCAGGGAAAAGGAAAACAGACTGTTCTCTAACTTGAGTGTGACCAACCGACAGGCGCTCAGAGCTCCTTGTGGCACCAGATGCTGGGCAAACAATTTTTTTTTTTTTTTTTTGCAAAAAATAAATTTTTGTAGTTGTGGATGCATACCGCAACTTTTATTTCATTTGTTTATTTTTATGCGGTGCTAAGGATTGAGCCCAGTGCCTCACACTGCCAGGCAAGCACTCTGCCACTGAGCGCCAGCCCCAGCCCTGGGCAAACAACTTTATCTTGGCTTCTCCCAGTGTCTGTTAGCATTTCAGTGGGGCAGACTCACCCTGCAGATGAGGAAGAGGGGAATCATCATCCACTATGACTTCGTTCAAAATGTAAAAGACTGATGGTGATGTACATTTGGGGAGCAGATACTGGGGACATGGGGAGCAATGCTGAAGGGTACGGGGTTTTCTCTGGATTGATGAAGGTAAAACAGATCATGAGGATGGCTGCCTAACGGTGTGAATGTAGTCAAAACTAGCAATCATACATTTTTAAACATACAACTTAAATGTGGATAAACTTACACTGTTGTGATTACACCTCAATATAGCCATTAAGAAATGTGCAGGCGCTGTCTTGGGGACTTCAAGGGAGGGCTTTACCTGGGTGTAAATACTAAATATGTGGCTTTGCACTTCATCCATGGAGTCCAGGCCATAGGCCACCGTTCCCAGGTGAAGGCGCTTGAAAACCATCTCATTCTGGGTAAGAGTTCCTGAAACACAAGACAGATGAGAACAGGGACCCGATACTTCCGTGTCACCCACTGGCTTCAGCGCTGCCCCCGCTGGAGTAGGCAGGAGAGGTCCCCTTCCCCTGCTGGGTTGCCATGGAACCATGACCACACCCATTCTCTAGGCCGGCCAGGAGGACTGTCCATCAGGACAGCTGCCGTGTTCCCTTGACAAGAGGGTTGTGTGTAAGGTACCCCAGGCCAACCAGATTCTACCTGGGAGGAGCCTGACCCTTGAGCAGAGAGTCACGGATGGAAGATGAATAGTCAAGTCACCCCAATGGCACAGCCCTGCCGAGACCGTCCTGGGGGGACGGAGACTGGTGTGTCCAGAGCCTTCCTGGCCCTCTCCTTCCTGAAACCTGGCTTGGCTGTTCTGGGGAGCTACCTGGTATCTCTGCAGCAACCTCCCTCCTACGCTGCAGCCACTAACTGGAGGAGAGGAAGGTTAGGCTCCGGTCGCCACCCCCATCTTTGTTCCTCCCCACTGCGAGGACCTCAGTCAGACAGGAGTTAAAGGGGGGAGCAGAACTGGGGTGCGGTGGCGATACAAGGACTGTGGCCAGACTGCCCGGGTCCCATGCCTCCTTCGGCCACTCTGTGCCTGTGACAGCACTTAACCTCTCACTGCCCCTTTCCTCATGAGGAAAATATGTCCTCAGCACAGGGCTGGCACGGGCATTAACCAAGTGACCGTTCACAAACTCCAGCACGGAGCGTGGCATTAACTAGTCCCATGGAAGCCCCTGCTGCCACCACCAGCCTCTACTCGTCCCACAGTGAGGAGAGAAACCGCAGCAGCTTCTTCCCCTCCAGAGGGAGAGCCCCGCTCCTCCTCGAGCACGGCGCCCCCCTCCCCTCTCCACCCCCTGCAGGGCACTGTGCACCGGGTGCTGCGCAGGCCGCAAGCGCTCACCTGTCTTGTCTGTGAGCAGGTAGGAGATCCTGCCCAGCTGCTCGGGGATCGTGCTGGAGCGCACCACCGTCCCAGGGATTTTGGAATCCCGGCGAATCACCCAGCTGTACACGATCTTGCCCATGTCCAGGTTCACACGCAAACTGGGCAGAAAGCCAGAAGGAACAGGTTAGAAGGACAAACAGAAGGCCCGAATGTGTCTTCACACCAACAGCATGGACTCTAAACACACCGCGCCCTGCAGTGAGCACGTCCACACAGTGGTGCTACCGTCATCACCCTGACTACTGTAGGGGCCTCCACAGTGGGAACAGATGGGACTTCTGCCCCTGGGTGTGGCTTACTCCACAGGGAGCAGAATGTTCTCAAGGGTCGTCGGCAGCACCGGATGTGTCAAAATGTCCTTCTTTTTCAAGGCTGAGTAATATTCATTTACGTATGTGCTACTTGTTTTAATATTGTTTAATATAGTAGTATTTATTATAATTCATTATTAAATTCATTCTTTGTTACCAAAAGATAGAAATTTTCAAATTATTTCATGATCTCATAAATTAATCAAAATGCATGCCATTGTACTAACTAGCCCTGATTCATATGAAAATTCACTTTGCCTGCTGGGTATGGTGACACATGCCTGAAATCCAAGCAACTCAGGGCTGAGGCGGGAGGATCACCCGTTCAAGGCCAGCCTCAGCAACTTGTTGAGGCCCTAAGTAACTTAGTGAGACTCTGTCTCAAAATAAAATAAAAAGGGCTGGGGATGCGGCTCAGTACCCCTGGGTTCAATCCCCAGTACAAAAATTTAAAAACAAAAACAAACAAACAAAAACATGACTCCACTTAGGATCACACTAGAAAGACTTGTATCACCAGCAATAAAGCAGACTTATTTGTTCGCTGAGACCACCCTCCAGAGTGTGCTGGCCAGGACACAATACCCTGCCCTGAGGGAACAAATCCTACAACAGTCTCCATCCTGAAAGAGAAACAAATTCTAACCTGGATAACAAAAATATGCAGAACACAAGACAAAATGTAAAATAACACATACCAAGGGTAAGAGAGACTGTAAGTGTGATAAGTTTCAGGAAAAATGATATTTAGTTTAATTTCACTAATCATTTATAATAGAGGAAAAACAGAATTATGCAGCAAAGACAATCAATCATCACACCTACAAAATACAGTTCTAAAAACTGCACAGGCATATTTGCTGGGAAAGATTATTTCTAACAGTGCTCTGATTTTTTTTTAATATTTATTTTTTAGTTATAGGTGAACACAAATGTCTTTATTTTACTTTGTGGTGCTGAGGATCGAACCCAGTGCCTCACGCATGCTAGGTGAGCGCTCTACCTCTGAGCCACAACCCCAACCCTGCTCTGATTTTTTTTATATGCAGATTTTATGTACAGACGAATTTCCATTTTTCTAAATAGAAAGAGGTATAGAAAAAATATATCCCAAATATTAGAAGAGCTTATCACCTTGGTTGTAGGATTGCAGGTCATTTTTTCTTTTCTTTTCTTTTTTTTTTTTTTTTAATGTGAATGTTCACTCTTCCTACTATGACATTCCACTATGTAAATTATCATTTTTAACAGGAGAGGAACCTAAAGGCTTTATTAATTTTACATGTTCGGGTGATCCTCACAAGAGAGCAGAGTGTGCAGCAATGGCCAAAGCACGATGTATGTGTACTTTTTACCCTAAGAATAATGGATCTGTGAGGAAGTGGCAGGACACATGGGCGTCTGGACTTGACTGAACTCTGTGGGTGTTACTATGAGAATATGGGATGGAGCTAGTGGAAGATGAGGCTGCTGCAAGGTTTTCCCAGCCACATTCGCTGCAGTCCCAGTTTCCAGTCTTGGTGATCAATGCTGTTCGGGCTCTGATATGTGCGGGACAGCCCTCCAAAGAGAATCTGCATGTCTCGGGGCCCGTAGGGAAGGTCAGGCCAAGGGCCCTTCCTGAAGCTGCAGTTCCTCAGTGAGGTCATGAGCATATTGACTCAGCAGACTTGCTTCCATTCCTTGGCATGAAATGTATTCAGTGGGCTTTCTAAGGAAAAAGTAAATTGTATCTTCCAAAGCATGAAGACCCCCAAAGCAGCGGTCTCCTTCATATTTGAGGAAATCCATAAAAATTCAAGGAAAGGCGTTCAGAGGAGACGGGAGGGTTGGAGGGAGCCTCCTCCACTGCAGCGTGGCTCACTCGCTCCCTGACTGCCCCTGCTCCCCCTAAGGGCCACAGGGCCACGGTCCTGCAGTGAGCAGCGGGAAGCAGACCTCCCAGCACCCACGACCAGCCCTGCTCACCTGATGGGAATGATGTTGGAAAACAGGAGGAGGAAGCGGATGATCTGCAGGTACCAGCGGCCAGCAAAGTGCTGCAGGGCCACCATGACCATTGAGACCACCACCAAGGCGCCAAAGAGGATCTTGGTGAGGCAGTTCACCTCCAGGTCAAACAGGCCGATCTGTGGGCGAAGCAAGAGACTCACAGTCAGCCGGCATGGCCCGCAGCCCGCGGAGCTGGCTCTGCCCCGGGGACTCTCCTTCCCAGCAGAGGACGCTGCTCTGTGGTTGGAGGTCAGAACAGACACTCAAAGGACCTCAGAGAATTCTGAGTTCAAAGTTTTGTGGGTTTTTTTTGTTTGTTTTTTTTTTAATAACTTCAGAAGATTTAGATACAGAAACACAGGAGCCCGTGACCTCAGCGCTGGGCTGCCCTGCGCTCTGCACAGCCCCTGCCACCCTGCACAGTGGCCTTGGGAAATGGCTGGGATCCTACACTCGCAGCACCATGCCACAGGACCTCTGGGTGCTGCCTGGAAGTTCTGGGCACCCAGGGTCCGATGCTGCCTTAGTGGACATTATTGTTTTAATAGTTATGCGTTTATTGTCATGTGTCTTCCCTGCAAGATGTAACTAGCCCATCGGAGCCACAACTTCAAAAAACATGGCCCAGAACAAGGGTAAACCAGCACGTAAGCATGTGGAGAGGGTTGGTGGAGGCGGTGACGAGTCTGGGAAGCACAGCAGTCGCCCGCTGTACCAGCAGAGAAAATCACTCTGCCACAGTCTCTTAAAACCTGGAGACGGGAGGGGCTGGGGGGGGTCACAGTGTGGGGGGAGTGACGATGGGGGTGTCAACTGATCCAACTGCATGTCTGGCCATAGCAGGGGCTCCTGGGGCGCTGAACCCCACAGGCCTGCCCTCTCCCACCAGGAGCCCGCAGAATGTCCCCTGCGTGACATGAGGAAGGGCCACGGAAGTCACCTGCACTCGTGGGGCTGTGTGAGGACTGACTGATTTTTTCCTGCAGTGCTAGGAGGGAGCTCGGGGCGTCCACTGCCCTGCACCCCAGCCCTTGCTATGAGGGGGAAACAGGCACCCACGGAGGCAGCGACTCTCACCTGCGCGTCCTCGGCAGCTTGCCTTAGCTTACGAGCTGCTAAAACCTCCTGTGTTCACGTGTGAATATGGATGTGTCTATACAGTGTGTGAGTGTGCACACACACACACAGGGAAAGAACACACCTACATGTGCATGAAAGAACACTGCCAGTGCCCCTGCTTTTGGAGCTGACCCTCACCCACCGACATTGCTCCTGGAGTGCCAGGGTCGCCATGTGCCGGGGGCCCCACCCACCTTACTGCGCGGGTTCGAGGTGTTCATGACGCTGCGGAGCTCTCTGCCGGTGTAGAGGACGACTCCCACAACCGTACCTGGAACGAGACCCCGTCCCAAAACACATCAGCCCACACAGGCGGCTATCGAGTGGGAGTCGGACCCCACTGACACCACGCCACGGGAACAACCGGACCTTGGGCCACCAAAGATCCATGGCTGCACTGAGCAGCAGGACAAGCCGCTTAAATTAACCTCCAGTCAAAATTAGATAAGCTACAGAGTTCCCCTTTCTCACCAGCCGCATTTCAAGTGTTTGACAGTCACATGGGGCTAGTGGCCGCCTGGCAGGACAGCAAAGAGTAGAGCATTCTCCTCGCTGTGCAAGGTTCCACTGAGCAGTGCCAGCCTGGGAGTCCAGAGGCCTCTGATGGCAGGAGAGTCGGGGATCGAGGTGGTCCCTGGTGCCATCAGCCTCAGAGGCTCCCAGGAGTGCATGGAACATCTGGGCCTTTGGACACCATCAGGGAAACTTAAGACTACACCCTTCTTTCCTGAGTGTATTCTTCCCAGTGAGGCCGACTGCTTTCTGACCCTGTGTCCAGCGTGGCCATTTGGGAGCCTATGCAAAGGGAAATCCCTTCCCAAGAACTGCCCTCCCCCCTCCACCCTCCAGGCACAAGGAAAGACCGCGGCCTCTCCAGGAACAACCAGTTCACGGAAGAAAGACAAGCGGCCAGTTAACGTTAGAAAAGTTGCTCAACTGAGTGGAGGATCAAAGAAGCGCAAACCCAAGCCTGCTTGCCCCCTAGGTGGGCAAAAGTTCAAGACTGACAATGTCCCGCGTTGGCCAAGAGGTAGGAAAATGGATCCTGCCACACACACTGGTGGCTTACGTGTAAACTGTGCAATGTATTTTGGGGGGAAATCTGGTAATATCTGTCGAGGCGGCAGGGAGGACGGCAGAGCTTCCAGCTCTGTGGGGACGACTGGGAGCAGACAGGTGGGCGCCTGAGTTGGCCACACCTGAGATGAAACTGGTGAGAAGGGGCCAGCCCCACCTGCTCTCAGGGAAGGTCCCAGAACAGTCTCCACAGGAAAAAGAAAAACCCTGCCTTCTCCCCACGCACTCTCTGAAACCCACTGCTGGAGAGACGCGGCGAAGACACCAAGAACTCCAGAGACATCTTGGGTCAGGGAGCCCGACCCCACTGCGGCCCTGTGACCGTCTTTGGACAAAGAGCCCTGGGAAGAGGCCCCAAGTCCCCCTCCTGCACCCGGCCAGGCCGGAAACATCCTGCACAATGAGCTCCCCTCGCGGGAGCTCAGCAGATGGCGGGCCAGGAGAGCGGCGCGGTCCTCAGCAGATGGCAGGCTCCTGTGAACACAAGCATCCCTCCCTCGGCCCGTCACCAGAGCAGATGGTCAGACTGTGGGAGCCACGCCTGAGAGGAGCCGGGGACGGCCACGTGGCCACTCCACCAAACGAGGGCAGACGCAGCTCAGCCCGACCCCGATGCCCAGGGTGAGGAGGGTCCTACTAACCAGGGGCACCCAAAGGGCACGATCCCCACAGTAGCCTGGCAACCACGGTGCCACCAAAGGCTGCTGAAAATGGCCTTTTCCATCTACAGCCGCTCTGTGCCCAGGACCACCGCTCTGCCTCCAGGAGATCAGGACCCAGCACCCTCCCAGCTGCCCTGGGGAGAAGGCACGCTGGGCTGGGTGTGCCCCCTACTGCCACAGTCCGAATTAGTTATCAACTTTTAAATTCAAGAGCTTTCCTAAAAAAATTGAAACCACTGGCTTTTCCTGAAAGTGGAAGATCGGGTGACCCTGGGTCCACCTTCCTCGATGGCCTAAGCAGCTGGTGTGAAAAAGCCGTCACCCCTTGAGACAGGCACCTGCTCTCAGCTCGCAGCGGTCCCACCCCTGCCAACCCCCTGCCTAATTCTCAGCTCTTGACCCAACAAACCTCTCCACCCCAGCCCTCTGACCCCTTCCTACGTTATCACCTTCCGGGTCCTACTCTGCTCTCTGTGTCCTCCTCGCTGTGGAGCACAGTCCCTGCCATTCCCCCCGCCAGCCCCCACGTGGCTTCTCCCAGGAGCCAGGCGGATGGTTGGGTGTGTCGGGAGGCGCTCATTGGCTCTGCGGCAGGGTGGGGTCCTGCCTGGGCTAAACAGGGTTAGTCTGCGATGACTTTGATCCTCACTCACGACAAGAGACAAGCTGAACCCAAGAGTGTGCTCAGGAACCTTCGTAAGAGACCTCGCTGCAACGCCCCAGAGTGGATCTGAAGACGAAGCCCACTGAGTTAGGCAAAGTCCAACCGGGCATGTTCAACTCGTGTGGCACGGAGCACACACGTCACCACATACTGGTCATGCACAGGTCTAAAGAACCCTGCTCTAGATTAGGACCACACTACAGACTTAGGGGAGGGGAGGACCTCAGAGTTTGAGAACTGGGGTAGAACCCTGGGCTCCTGATATCCTGCCTTCCTCCTCTGCCAAGTCCCCAGCTCTCCTTAGCCCCTGCCTCCTCCATCGCCCTGGTACTCCTCTGCCTTGAAGCACTGTGTTGGGTTACCATGGCAACCACATCTTCCCCAGATGGATGCCCGCCGAGGCAGCTGGACCCTCAGCCCAGCCCAGCAAGCTTTCTTATTTTTTAAAGTTCCAGGACACAACAGTGGGCTGACCCAGAGGCAGGAGGGGAATTCTGAAGGGAGCAGAGATGCACAGCCCCCCAGGGCTGCCCGCACTCCTGCTGGCTCTTTCTGGAGTTGAGCACACGGCTCCAGGCATCTCACCCCGTGGTCACATCGGAATCAGAGTGCAGCCAGGGGTCTACCAGTAAGGAAACGGAGGCCAACTAAGTTCATGGAAAATGCCCGGGAGATCACATCACCCCAAAACATACAGCCACTGAAGGGCACAGCAGGTGACAGGGCACAGCAGATGACATCACGGATCACAGAAGCACTGCTCACTTTCTCTTCCCACAAAACCAAGCACAGGGCAGGAATCCAGATGAGGGAAACCGCATCTTTGACTCCACAAGGTACTCCCCACAATGGTCTGAAATCGAATCCATCTTCCAGATCCCGCCTTGCCTTCTCCGTCCTCCTCCCAGGTGAGGGCTCTCCAAGGCTGGGTGACCTTGGGCGAGTTGCCTCACCTCTCTGAGGCTCAGTTCCTAAGACCAAGACAAGCTCGTGGCAGCGAAGTGCCTGAAAAATCAGGCTTCTCACTGTCGTTGACGTCTGAGATTAAGATGGAGCCCTGGTCCCTCGCCTCAGAACCCTCAAATGTCCTTTTTTACTAGTTTCAGAGAACATACATAAAACTCGTTCCCATTTCTACCACCTCCTCTGTAGCCTGTAAGCCATGAGCCCACGAGGCTGGGCCCAGCACCTGGGGGTCCTGCTGCAGCTCTGGGACCCAGCAGGGAGCAGGGGCTCCGTGAAGGAGAACGAGACCCCAGAGTGAAAACCGAGGGAACAGAGACGTAGTTGTTACTGAGCCGTTAATGCCATCCACATGAGTAATTGATCGGATAAATCAGGCTACGGGAAGTCAAGGTGGTGGTCACCTTTGGTGGGGTGGGGGCCTAGAAGTGAGCTGAGGGGAGTTTCTGGGGATAGAGGGTTGGTAATATCCCACTTCTTGCCGTGGGTACTGGTCACACAGGGGTCTGTGTTAAAATCCACACGTGTTACATTTAGGACTTGTGTGATTTCCTGCATGGTTTACACGGAAGGAGAGATGTCTAACCCTCTGCAAGAACAGAAGCACACACTGTTCACACTACTGCTGGGTAAGGAGCTGTGCCGGTCACGAGCACCTGTCACCCTGCAGCCCTACCCAGGTGCGGCACGGTGAGGTGCTCTCCTGCACGCCCTATGCAGGTGTTCCGCACACACGTTCTCCATGGGAAGCACTCCGCCTTCTCCTGCCTCCCTCTCTCGGGAGCTGACTGCTCCCCAGCCTCCACCTCTGTCAGGGTTCAAGCCGAGGAGACTCCTTGCTAGCCAGCTGTTCTATCTCTCCCCAAGATAAATTCCAGCTGCATCAAGTATTTCAACATAAAGCCATATAAACACTGCAAGACAATGTCACCATATAGTTCTGTGATTTTTGAACTGGGAAGCTTTGTCTAAGCATGTCACAGAAATCAGAAATTATAAAGGAAAACAGGATCATAGGCGTGATGAGATAGAGACTCTAGACTTTTAGATCAAAATACAAATAAGATCAAGGGAAACAGCAGTTGCGATTAAGATCAAACAGGGGGCTGGGATGTGGCTCAAGCGGTAGCACGCTCGTCTGGCATGCGTGCGGCCCGGGTTCGATCCTCAGTACCACATACAAACAAAGATGTTGTGTCTGCCGAAAAACTAAAAAAAATAAACATTAAAAAAAAAAAAGATCAAACAGAAGGATGATAGTCTCACAACATAAAGAATTCCTAGAAATATTTTTTTAAAAAACCTATGAACAGGGCTGGGCATGGTGGTGCACACCTGTAATCCCAGCAGCTCAGGAGACTGAGGCAGGAGGATTACGAATTCCAACTTCAGCCTCAACAACTTAGAGAGGCCCTTAGTAACTTCCTGAGACCCTATCTCTAAATTTAAAAGGACTGGGGATGTGGCTCAGTGGTTAAGTGCCCCCCGGTTTAATCCCTGGTTAAAATATATATATATATATGAACAGAAAAATGGGCACAGTAGGCAAAGTGGCAATTCACATATGTATTTAAAAAATATTAATGAACAGTAAACATAAGGGAAGTTGTTATATTTTAAAGTCAAACCAACATGTGGTATGTCAATCACCTAGACAAAAATTTAAAAGGCAGCCAGGCGTGGTGGTGTACATCTGTAATCCTAGCGGCTTGGGAGGCTGAGGCAGGAGGATTGAGAGTTGAAAGCCAGCCTCAGCAACGGGGAGGTGCTAAGCAACTCGGTGAGACCCTGTCTCTAAATAAAACACAAAATAGAGCTGGGGATGTGGCTCAGTGGTCCAGTGCCTCTGAGTTTAATCCCTGGTAGTCTCCCCAAAATTTAAAAGGCAAAACACGGCACTCGCTTGAGGGCCTACGTAGGATTATGAAGAGGGTGAACTAGAAGAGAAAAAGCTATTGAGGAAAAGCAACCAGTTCAGACACTGCACAGCCTCCAGGGCAGGGAGTGGGCGGGGCAGAGTGGGAGTGGGCGGGGCAGAGCGGGAATGGGCAGGGCAGAGTGGGGGAGTGGGCGGGGCAGAGCGGGAATGGGCGGGGCAGAGCGGGGGAGTGGGCGGGGCAGAGCGGGAATGGGCTGCATGGCCCCGTGTCCATGGGTGAGCCGTGGGGCCCTGGTGTGGCCAAGCAGAGTCTTCAGGACCAATTCCTCACACGTTAGTCATGGGCAAGGAGGGACATGATGTAAATGACGCAGACAGCGGGAAAGGGATGCAACAACAACAAAAAAGAGGGAGCCAGTCTCTGCCTGTTTGCACCAAACAGTGGCCACCCAGGATGACCTGCCTGCGTGCCCCTTTCCTCCCCTGGTCACATGGAATTCTGATCTGACTTCTGATGAACTACAGAGCACCAGAAGACCAAGCAAAGACAACAGGATGTGAGTGGGGAGTGGGGGGTGTCTGACGAGGGGAAGACCCCGTGACTCCAAGAGTAGAGCCGGAAAGTGGCCAGTGGTGGGACTGTCATGGGACCTGATCACACTAATACGTGGACCCGCTCTTTCACAGACACGGGGTGCTATACCGTGTTTAAAAGCTGCATGGTAAGTTCCTCATCTGAGCAAAGTGTCTGGGTTCAAATCCCAGCTCTGCCTTTTACCCACTGTGTGGCCTTCAGCAAGTCCCTCGACCTCACCGAGTCTCAGTTCCTTCAAATGCAGGACAGGGATAATACTAGTGCCCGCCCTCGGCGTGATGTCCAGGGTGAAGCAGAGGGTGTGACACAAATGAAGGACCCAGTCCAGTGCCTGCCGCGCTGCCTCTTGCGGCCCGCAATCGACCACCGCAGCAGCAGACCACTCTGGGTCCTGGGGCCCTCCTGCTCTCGTCACCCAGCACGTGACCCCAAAGCCATGGACGCCCACTTCACCTTGGTGTTTCCCACAGGCTCGGCCCCTCCCCAGTGCACTTTCCCACACACACACCAACATGGGCAGCTGTCCCCACGCACACAACTTCCGGCCACACGGGCCAGGCTCACTCGATCTCTGGCACAGACTAGAAACGGCAACGGAAGCGGCAAGAAGGGAACACCGCAGTCCGCAGGCCACGGTGGCCTCCCCTCTAGGCGTCTGTACGCGTCCGGGCCACAAGAGATGTCAGTGAGGCTCCCCAGAGATGCCAGAACTCGGGGGAAACTGCACCCCACCGGCACCTGGCTTTCCCACCGCCAGGTGACCGTTCTAACGCCAGCGCGATCCCCGCCACGCGGTCTCACCTGAGGCCACGACCGTGCCAGCCCACAGCGTGTTCTCGATGCTCAAGCTCTCGCTGATGGACGGGTCACTGTCTTCCTGGAAGAGACCACACAGACCCGTGTTTGTCTACTAGTGTCCCTCGGTCTCTGTGGGGTCTGGTGCCAGGACCCCAGGGAAGCCAAGTCCTGCGCACGTCTCCCGTACAGTCCCGTCATCTCTAGGTGACTTAGAACACGAGCACAGTCCTAGTGCTGTGTGAATGGCTGTGGTGCTCACGACAACAACAAAGGTCTCTACACGCTCCACACAGGCGCAGTTTTTTCTGGAACTTTTTAAAAACATTTTATATATATCTGACAGCAGAATGGATTACAATTCTTATTCCACGTACAGAGCATAGGTTTTCATTTCTCTGGTTGTATACAAACTATCTTCACACCAATTTGTGTTTCACACCTGTACTTAGGGTAATGATGTCCACCAAGTTCCAGCATCATTTCTAACCCCATCCCCCTTCCCTTCCCCTCCCACCCCTCTACCCTATCTAGAGTTTTCTGGAATGTTTCTGATGCATGATGTGTTGAAACTGTGGCTGTAGAACCCGCTGGTACAGGGTGATGACCAAACAGGGGCCTTACGGCTTCCAGCCTGCCCTGCTCTAGGCAAGGAGAAGGGTCCCCCATGAATCCGGAGGCCACAGGCAGGAAGCCCACAGCTCAGCCGGGGGAGGGGGCCAGGCCTGTCCACTGCCACACCAGAGTTTTCATCTCTCATGGAAATGTGTGTGAAAGCTGTTCTGTGACATAAAGAGTGGAGATTTCCCAACACTAAAGAATTACTGCACAAGGAGAGGTCTAAAGTGCAACAGCCACTACTCAGGCTCTGTGCCGGCCAGGCTGAGGCTTAGAGAAAGAGACCAGAGACAGGGCAGCTGGGGTTCTATAATCTACTGTCTCATAGCCTCAAATAACCTAGATCCAAGATTAGCAAGTATTCTGAAAGGTCCAAGAGTGGCAGCCAGGACTTGTATGAAGAGGAGGACTGGGACCCACCTGGAGGGGACAGGGGCATCAGTGACATTAATCACTCCACACTCGGCTCTACGTCATTCACGCCGTTCTAAGGCTGGGAGAGAATTCTGGCCTGTCAACCTTACTGAGAAAAGATCCCTCTGCTTTCAAGGTGGGGCTGCTGTTAGGAAATCTCAGGCCGGCCCTGAATAAAACCACACTCTGGCAAAGATCCATCAAAGCATCTCCGCTGGCCTCCTCTGCAGGCCTCCTCCGCGGGCCTCCTCCCAGGGCCTCCTCCATAAGCCCCAGCTCAAGCACACTCCAGGATGGGAGCTCCGTTACAGCAAGCTGACTTACTCTGGTAAAAGTCCCTGCGAAGTTGTGAATATCGATGCTTGGCTCTTCTGCATACACGTAGGATCGAATCTGGAGAAGGTCCTGTTCAACAGGGGGGGGATGTGGTGGGATTAAAACAGAGGTCAGCACGGGGTTCAGGTTTCAGGGGGCACGCACTCTCTTTCCAGAACCACTGTGTTTCCCAAACCCAGCCAACAGGCTCTCAAAATCACAGGGCGGGTAGAAAGATGAGGAAACGCCTCTGTGAAGTTAGTGCAGGGGTCACTACGTCCAACACCCCAAAGCCCGCCGAGAGCCCAGTGACACCCTACGACCTGCGTCTGCCCAGCACTTCCAGGCCCATGGTACCGGAGATGCTGCAGAGCCATGAGCATCTCTGTCGTGGGCGGGTGCCCCTCTGCTGAGCTCTGACCAATGAGACTTGCTCATGCCAATAAAACACTTGCTCACCCAAGAAACAATTAGGCGTCACTTGTGTACAAGGTCCTGGGAAGGAGGCCCTTTCAAGAAAATATGAATACCTCACAGTCACTAGAGGACCGCCACAAAAACAGTTAAAAATTAAAAATAAAAAAATAAGGAGGCAGGGGGACTAGACCCTGGTGCGCGGCTGGTGAGGACGTGGGGCAGTAAAGCCGCTGTGGAGGACAGCAGGGGCTTCTTCTAAGAATTAAATACAGAATCCCCACGGGACGCGGCAATTCTACTTCTGGGTGTGTGTCCAAAAGAACTGACGGCAGGGACTCAAGACACGGGGACACCGTGTGGGAGACAGCTCTCAGCAGCCGCCACGGAGGACAGAGTCTGAGCAGGGGACCCTCAGGCCATCCCCCCTGTCACTGTACCCAGCTCCCCCCTCACCTCTTTATCTGCTTTGTCTCCTCTCCTCGCCTCCTTTCCTGCCTCTTCTCACCTCCTCTTCCATTTAACAAAGTTCTTCCAAAACCATTATTGCTGACCCTGACCACGGCCCGCCAAGCCAGGCCCTGCGGGCAGAGGGCATCCTGGCCCTGCAGAGGTCCAGGTGAGCTACCACAGCTGACTCCCGAAAAAGGGCAGCTCCTGCCACCAGCCGGTTCTGGCATGGCCCAGTCCTGCCATTTAAAAAGCTTCATCCATCTATGTATGTATGTATGTATGTATCTATCTATCTATCTATCTATCTATCTATCTATCTATCGTCCCATTTTGCAGTGCTGAGGCTCAAACCCAGGGCCTTGTGCACGCCAGGCAGGCGCTTTACCAACGAGACACACCATGGCCCCTCACCAGTTTCTTTTTACCTCTCCTACACTTGACCTAATTCTTATAGGAAAAAGGAAGCAAGGATTCTCCTATTAGATTCTTCTATTCTCCTACTTCAAAAGCAAGAGACCAGTTGGGCATGGTGCCGCACACCTATAATCCCAGCAACTCAGGAGGCTGAGGCAGGAGGACTTCACGCCTCGGTAACTTAGTGAGGCCCTAAACAACTTAGGGAGTCTCTGTTTTAAATTTTTTTTTAAGGGACTGGGGATGTGGTTCAGTGGCAAAGTGCACCTGGGTTCAATTCCCAGTATTCAAAACAAAAACAAACCAAGACACCCGATTCTAAACATAAAATTGACTAAAAATATTAAGGGATAGAAAATGGATACACTACGATCTCCACATGTCTTGGAATCGAAAAAGAATGAGGGTATGTGTTACATTTTTAGTGAGCTATCCACATTAGCAATGTGCGGATTCACGTGAAAAACCTGGGTTTCTGATCTCTGGGTTCTCTTTCAAAAACCATCAGGCAAACTGGGAACAACAAAAGCACTCAGCAACAGGGGTCTGGAGTTGAGGCCCGGGGCCAGCCCTCAGGCAAGGCCCAGGCTCCTGAAAACTAGCCCTAAGCATACGTGTTAGAGAATTGATAAGAAAAAGCCCAGAGACACATTAAACCTGGAGGGAGGAAACCTCACAGAGCAGTAGAGATCCGTCTGTGTAAGCCACTGCCTGCAAATAGTCGGCATACTAACTGTTGAGAAGGGTCTGAAAGGACCACCACCTGCGTCACATGACCCCCCCCTCTGGGAAAAGATAAAAGCTGGGGTCAGGCCATGAGCCTCTTCTCACTTTTCCTTCCAGATCTTTCCATACGCACAGTTAATAATAATGAAAAGAATGTATTTGTGTATCACTCAGGTAAACTTTTCATATAATTCTCTTAATCTCAGCTTTATTAGAATGCTGCTTCCCACTGAGACCCCTGAGGGCCACTCAGGCCAAGTGTCCCCTGACAGCGGGGACAGCAGATCTTCTCTTCCTCTGAGCCCCAGCCCAGGACGAGGGTCAAAGCGGGTGATTATAAACTGGGAGCTGCTTCCAAAGCACACTAGCAAACACAACTCTACGCAGCAAAATACGCAGGCACCTGTGCTTCTGGGCCCCGGAACAGAGACCTTCAATCATTCTGAGAATGGGAATCCTTTATTTGAAGAACTCTCACCAGGAAGTAAAACACATACCCAAAGTCTGAATCCAGCCTTAAATTGGCTCCATCTCATGACTGTTTTGGGGGGATCCTCCACTGTACTTAAAAACTCACTCTTCTAGAATTCCTGGTTTAAAAATTAACAGTCATGCCAGGCACGGTGGTGCATGCCCATAATCCCAGTCACTTGGGAGGCTAAGGCAGGAGGATCACAACTTCAAGGCCAGACTCAGCAATTTAGCAAGGCCTAAGTGAAATCCTGTCTCCAAAAAGTGCTGAGGAAGGCTGGGACTGTGACTCAGTGGCAGAGCGCTTGCCTAGCATGTGTGAGGCACTGGGTTGGATTCTCAGCACCACATATAAATAAATAAAATAAAGGTCCATTGACAACTTAAAAAATACTTTTTTTAAAAAAAAGGACTGAGAATGTAGTGCCCCTGGGTTTAATCCTCAGAACCCCCTCCAATAAAAACCAGTTATGAAGGGTGCTACCTCATTTTTTTATTAGCCATGAAAAACCACCAGTGCGGTGCCATGTTTATGGTTACGTTAACTGTACTAAGACCCAAAACTTTGGCCTGCCTGCTCCCTTCCCACTAGACGGCATCAATCCACGTGACAGGAACACAGGACAAGTTCCATGTTGTACTTAACCCTTCCAGAACGCCGGTGGGCAAGTCAACCTCTGGGCATTTAAATCACATTTGGCCAATACTGTGGCCATCTGTCAGCACCCACTGTCCCATGCACTGGGGGTACAGCAGGGTCACCAGGAGCAGCTGCTCACAGGGAGTCAGCCTGGAGGTGGGTGGAATGGGAATGCCAGGGGAAAATGGCCAGAAAATAAGACACTTGTGCAGGACACCTACACGACACCTATGTGACACCTACATGCCATCTATGTGACACCTACATGGCATGTATATGACACCTACATGGCATGCTGGATATACCGGGCCAGGCAGACCTGAGGTAAGAGGGTTTCTGGGGAGCAAAGAGCAAGGGCAGATGTCCAAGGAAGAGGCATGCTTGACCAAGAGGCCAGTGGGCAGTGGAGAGGGGCAGAGGGCAAGGTCAGAGACGAGCACCATGCAGACGGATGGTGTGGGGCCCCTGAGCAGGGAATGACACGCTCTGATTTCCCTTTAATGTTCTGCCGGGCAGCTTGTCCAGCTCTCCTGGGACTCTGAGCCACCCCAGAAGGAGCTCGGGTCCTGCCTGTGGAATCTGCCCTGGGCACGGCCACACGGGAGGGAACTGAGGAGCCGTGGAAGTTCTCTGGGATCCCACAGTCCCCCGCCAACCCCCATGCACATCTGACGTCCCCTGTTGGCCCTGGAGGGCATCTGAGCTTGAGAGCCCTCCTATGACCTGGTGACCGCGAACACTTCTGTAGGGAAAGCTACTCACGGCGGCCGTGGGGAGCCTCTGTGTGCAGGCCACAGGCAGCCGCAGCTTCCAGTCCGTCTCCCCATCCAGCTGATCCGTCCGCAAGAAGCAAGACCCTGTGGAGGGAAGTTGGGGACTGTCCAGTTACTCAAAACCCAAGAATCCTTCCTTGGCTGTTCTAAGCGCTCCTTACAAAAATGGCCGTTTGATGGCCAATGACACAAAGAGAAAATAAATACCTTCCTTCCCACTTCCTCCATAAGCTCTGAGACAAAGATCTGGGTTCAAGCCCTTATGCCACCATTCTCTCCCCGTGAATCTAGTTTCTTTTTCTTCTTTTTTTTTTTTTTGCTTTAGTACTGAGGATTGAACCCAGAGACACTTTACCATTGAGCCACACCCCCAGTGCTTTTTATTGTTTATTTTGAGACGAAATCTCACTAAGTTGCAGAGGCCAGCCTCAAATTTGCGATTCTCCTGCCTCAGCCTCCTGAGTCTCTGGGACTACGTGTGTGTGCTGCTAGTTCACTGACCTAGCTAAACCACAATATGTCCTCATTTTAAAAATGAGAAGAACCTGCCTTCACAGCTTATTGTAAGGACTCAGTAATGGTCCAGTGGCTGGCACAGGGTGGCTAGCCCTGAGGCCGTGCTGGGAGGGGTTATGACCCCTTCCTCAGGAACCAGACCATCAGGGACAGATCCCAGCTATGCTGCTCACTGGCTTCCTGTCCTAAGAAGGAATGTGCCCTCTCTGAACCTGTCCCCTGTGTAGAAAGTGAGACAGTCACAGTGCCAGCACCCAGGGAGGTGAAGGCCATCAGGTGTGTGCTCGCCCTGCTGACTCTGCAGTGCAGACCGAGACCCCCTGCAGCAGAACTCCCATCACTGTGGAAGGTGGCCGGGGCGCATCTGGCCCTAAGCCACTGGCTGTCTTCAATGAGCAGGACCCAAGAACCAATTCAAGGCTAACTGCTGCAGTTTTTAAAAGACTGTTTTCATCTAGTGCATTCTGTCCCCTCTCCCGGTTACATAAATATTATTAGTATGAATTTTTACCTTTACTTTCAGTCAATTCATAATTAAATAGTTTGCAACAATCTTAAAGGAATATGAATGCCCATTTTTCAGATGTTCAAACATCTCCAATTGGGCCAGATTGGGGCGGGGCTTGTTTCCTTAGAACAACTTAAATAAAAAGGCAGGCAGGCAGCCTGCTAGGGAGTAACTGCCACAGGTGAGGGCCGTGGAGGCTTGAGATTCACTGCAGTAAACAGTGAATAGGAGCAGAGGAAGCCACGGCAGAAAACGTGCCTGCCCCTTCCCAGTTTCTGTATCCGCCCATCTCACACAGCCACTGGTGTCGCCTTCCATGAGAAAAATTCCTGTCTGCCTCTGTTCAACACACTTCCTGTCCACCGACTCCTGAAGTTGAGCCTAACACAGCCCAGAAAGGGGGGTGGGGGGTGAAAATCAAGGCTTGTGGGTGTGGCTCTGTTGTGGGCGTGGCTTCACCAGATGTCAGTCATCAGGGCTCCAACTACCATTTTAATGACAAAAATCTAATAATGAACACTTTCCATTTTAAAAGACTGCTCTACTATGAAGAGGTTTTTGATTCACCTTCAGGGCTCCAAAATGATATCTACACCTCGGCTGCATTTTCAAATGATTATTTTGCCAAACTACCACTGAAAGGTTAACGGTTACGTTCCACATTGATCTCAGATGTTTACCATTTTTTTCTGATGTCCTCAGGAAGATCATGTCAGCAGGGACCCGCTGGTTCTGTGGTAGGAAAAGGAAGACTGTCATGGTGGGCAGCCACGGACGGGGTCTCCAGCCACCCCGAGGCAGGAGGCCAACCGAAGCCCACCCCTCTTTGAAGTTTCTGCTTTTGTCAAAGACAAATTTGGAGGGTCATTTTGTTTGGGATCTGAGGACAATGGCGGGCTGCTGGTGCTTTACACGCCCCTAATAAAATCCCATCTCAGGAAGGAAGCTCCCCGTTTTCCTGCAGATGCAACCAGCACCCACTGGAACCCCAGCCAAGGCGTGGGCCGAAGCCGCTCCGAGGCTGGCGCTCCTCCAGGTGTCCGCAGACACCCCGGGGACACCCAGCTCACCCTTCTGCCTCTACCCATCCCCAGAGCGATGTCTGGCTTTTAGCGGGATTTTAATAGGAAAGTGGAAGGGTAAGAATGGACAAAAGCCTTTCTTGAAACAAAGAGGAAACTGATAGCAGCCCCCACGGAGCTACCAACAGAAGAGCGTCTGACAACACGCGGCTCTGAGTTCCACTCCCCTCAATCGACCTTGAGTTCTTGGATTTCATCCTTTTAAAAGGGCATAGTTCAGTTCCTACAGAAACGAGGTAGCACGAAATCCTTCTCTAATCAAATATTATTCCAAGATTCTCCAGGGCCACCCCAAAAATCTCACACCTTCCAGACACACATAGTAAAAAGAGATGTGTTTGCTGAGGCAACAAACATTAACAGGGCTATTTTTAAAAATGCATTTTTGGACATTTTACTGTTCGCATGTTAAACTTCACCCCTGACCTCATAAAATGGTTGGCAGGTACAATGTGTGAGTCAGAAAATGCAAGCTGATATTGCTCAAAAGGATGATTAGATAAGTATTTCTAAGTATCAAGCAAACTTAAAGGGAAGATTTTATTTACGTACTTTTTATTTGTATTTTATTTTGTACCAGGGATTGATCCCAGGGGCCTTAACCACTGAGCCACATCCCCAGCCCTTTTTCATATTTTATTTAGGGACAGGGTCTCACTGAGTTGTTTAAGGCCTTGATAAATCGCTGAGGCTGGCTTTGAACTCATGATCCTCTTGCCTCAGCCTCCCAAGCCACTGGGATTATAAGTGTGCGCCACCACACTTAGCTGGAAGATTTTACTTGAATAAAAAAATTTTAAAGCCCAAATAATAAACATGAAAAAAGGACATCAAAACCTGTACTTGTAGGGGTGTTTGAGTTTCCCCTCCCCACCCCCAGTACTGAGAATCAAACTTGGGGCCTCCTACATGTGAGGCAAGCACTCTACCACTGAGCTGCCTTCCCAGTTATTTCACTTTTATTTTGAGACGGGTCTCACTCAGTAGCCCAGGTTGGCCTTGAACTTGTGATCCTCCTGCCTCTGTCTCCCAGTAGCTGGGATCACATGCGTGCATCACTGTGCCTGGCTATGGTTGTACATTTCATAAGCAGGATTTCTTTCTACCCAATTCACATAAACCTTGAAAAAAATATTTTGTTTATCTCATGGCAAAGAGATTTTTCTCCCAAGCAAAGACACTGGATAGAATCCAAAAAGCATCATTCAATTTGTCTGCCCGATACGCACACGACCGCGGACTCCCTGTGCAACGCGCTCACCCCGCAGACCAGCCCAGGACGAGCGTCCAGCCCCGCTCACCTTTTCAACGATGATGAGATCTCCCACTTGGATGCTGGAACTCTTCACCTTCATTGTCCCTGCAAAGCAACAGGCCAACACATCACTGCCACAGTGCATTTCAACACAGCTCCATCGCTCTTGGAGCCTTCCAGGGGCACAGGAGGCGCCCTGATGCACGGCACCCTCCAGTAGCATCTCCTGGCTCCCCAAGAAAAGGGTCCCTGCTGCAGAGACAGACACTGGGTCCTACCTCACAGGGCACTGAAATAACTCATGTCCTTCCAGAAAGACCACCTGTCTTAACAGGGACTGAGACTTCCCAGGTAGCTACAAGGGATTCTATTTTGCCTCAAAAGGGAAAGGAAAAGGGACTGGGGCTGAGGCTCAGGGTAGCATGTGTGAGGCACTGGGTTCAAGTCTCAGCACCACATATAAAGAAATAAAATAAAGGTCTATCGACAACTAAAAAATTTTTTAAATATAATTTTTTTTTAAATAAAAGGGGGAGCTGGGATTGTGGCTCAGTGGTAGAGTTCTTGCCTAGGATGTGTGAGGCACTGGATTCAATTCCCAGCACCACATATAAATATTTAAATAAAATGTCCATCAATGACTAATAGAATATATTTTTTTAAAGGCAGAGGGACAAAATTAAGAGTCAGATCCAGGAGAAAAAGTGAAATTTTAATTTTAATTTTGATTTTCAACAACACCAGCAGCCCCCCTCAAAAAAAAAAGCTAAACCAATATGACTGATTTACTTTTTTTAATTTCTTTAAGATGTTGACGAACCTTTATTCATTTACTTATATATGGTGCTGAGAATCGAACCCAGTTCCTCACACGTGCTAGGCAAGCGCTTTACCACTGAGCCACAACCCCAGCCCTGATTTACTTTTTAATGGACAATTGCTATACACTTTGGCTACGATGATGATCGGACTACATGATTTTTATTAAATGCTTATCTGAATCAACAATCAAAGCTAATATCACACACTAACGCTGTGCTAAGCACTAATATACACACTGCCAGCGCCTTTTTACCCTGTGGTCACCATCAGGGGACGGTCTCGTCTCCAGCTTCCTGACAGAAAAACCCACAAGTTCAGGTCAACTCAAAATTGATTAGTAAGTGCTGTGTCCTGGGGTTAAAGATAAAAGATGGTCTTCGTAGCTCCCCAGCCCGTGGCCAAGCTCAGAGTGACCACATGTGCAGTGGTCAGGGCCGGACGGTGAGGAGTCCAGGCTGCGGGCCAGGAGGCGATGCCCTCAACCCCTCCCACAGCTCTTTTCCCAAAGGGCTCTGACCCTTTTGCACATTTACATTTCACATTTTAAAATGTGAAAAACATTCTTTGCCCTCAGGCTCTACAAAAACAAACAAGGAGCTGAACGTGGCCACGGCCAACCGTGGCTGCCAACCAAGATCTAGGTCTAGTGACAGCCAGACGCACGTGACAACAGCAGTGCAGGGAGTCCAGTGTGCTGGGGGGCTCGGGAGGCCAGTGCCCAGCACAGAGAAGGCCCGTTTACTAAATGCCTGCTGTATACCAGGTGCTCTGAGGGCCGAGGGTCCACGGAACTCACACTCTCGAGGGCAGAAACAGCAAATGAGCGAGCTGGGGCTTGGAAGGGGGTGTCCACAATCCTTTGCAGGAGAGTTGGGGCCAGAATTAGCCATGTGAAGGACACGGTGTTACTGGGAACCGATAAAAATCCAGCCTGAGAGATGAGAGAAGGGTGCACATGTATGCAGCATGCCCGTGGCTAACGGCTGGGGTTCTCGTGGAGGGGTTTGTGGCAAGTAGGGAATAGCAAGAAAAGAGGTGCAAGGGCTGACCTGAGCCGGACGGTCCAGCACCCTGTGAGCACACCACAGAGGAAGCGGACCTTCTATCTGGTCAGATTCTCATACAAGGAAACAACACCATAAAATCTTCACCAGTTTCTGGTGTCCTGTTTACTTTGCAGATGTTTAGCTGAGACACAGAGAAAAAATAATAAGCAAACCTCAAAAACAAAATGCCCCTGAGCAAAACCATGCATGGGGACCATGATCACTGTGCCCTCGGCACACCTGCTGTCCACAGTAGCTGGCGCTCACCAGCATCTCCCACTTGAATTCCGGTCACTTCACAGAGAACTGAAAGACATGCTGGAATAATCTGTGTGCACGGCTCTATGTTTTCATTAATGGTGCATATTTTAAGTGGTTTATGACCACAGACATTTTTCAAAGCATTCAGATGTCAATTCAAATGACTCTCTGCAATAATAGCCACAGAGTTTGATTCTAAACAATCCTGGCATTTTATTCAACCTGGTTATGTGAACCATAAGCAGGGCTGCCACCACAAGTTCTACACACAGATATTATGACTTCTAGAAAGATCTTGGGACTGCCGGTGCACAGCTCTCAAACTCACCCTACTAGGAGAGCCTCTAGCACAGAGTGGTGCCTCATTTCCTAAAATTGTTGCTGACCCCATCCAGTGGCTGAGCCCGGGGAACACCAGGGAGACCCACAGGCCTCAAGTTTCATTGTCTCAGGCTTTGGTCAATACATTTACAGAGAGGCTGGCCAGCGGGCCCTAATCCAAACAGTACAGCTGCATCTGCAGGGCATCAGTTCCAGGACCCCCGTGGAAGCCAAACTCGGGGGGAGGGGGGGGAGGGGGTTTCAAGTCCCTTATACATTGCATAGAAGCTGAGCACATCCACATCTCTCATTATTTTGAATAATCACTCTAGATTACTTAGGGTGCTCATACCATGTAAATACGTCATACTGTTTAGAGAATAATGACAGGGAAAGTTTTCAACTGGCCCACACCACAGCAACCCCTGTAGACCCCTCCCCCTGCACACTGGCCACAATGTGACACTTCTGATGCAACCTGGGTGGAAAGGGAGGAATAGTCTGCAGAGCTGAGGGCCCTGGAAGAGGGGTAGGTAGAGAGAACTCTTTGACTGACTGAGCAACCTTCTCTGGCTCCACTAGGGGGCAGCCACGGGAGCAGGCAGGGACCCAGCCTTCTTTCCGGTGGGCTCAGGAGGCTCTGCTTGGAGGAAGGTCATAAATTCAACCTGGCCCTCAGCGCCAATGAAGTTCCCCTCACCTGAGCCTGCCCCAACTTTCCCAAACACAAATTTACACATTGTCTTTGGGGTTTATGAGTTAAATTTAGGCTGCTGGCCTTTCTGAACAACCACACCTGGGTTCAGATCCTGGGGACTGCGTTACAAGTTAACTTGAAGGCAAGCACAGGTTTTAGCTCTGGCTAAACAACAACTGCTCATGTATCTGTCCATCCGTGAGCAGGACAGAGAACAAAATCAGGAGGCCTCTCCGGAAAGGCCTGGTCATGATCCTGGAGATGCAGGATCTAAACCCCCCTCTGGCATAGATATTTTCTAAATTCTTCATTTAAAATATATATATATTTAGTTGTAGATGGACACAGTATCTTTATTTATTTTTATGTGGTTGCTGAGGATGGAACCCAGAGCCTCCCACGTGCAAGGCGTACTCTCTACCACCGAGCCACAGCCCAGCGCCCTAAATTCTTCATTTTTTACCGTAAGCATGAGGTTGTTTTCTAAGAAGAAAAAAATAATAAGCTCAGGTTTTTTTCAGTGACCAGGCCCAGATTTTTCCCCTTCTACAACAGAGGCCTGATTTACGATCAGTTAATTTGAACTGTGCCTCCCTCTGTCCATCTGTTCTACCTCAACAAAAAACCCTTTAATCCACCGTGTTTGCAGAGCAGTTTGTGAGTCACCCCAGCAGGCCGATCCTTCATGTGAACACTCCAGCCATTCCTGCCCAACAGCCAAAGACCTCCCCTCCATCTCGGGGGCCAGGGGAGCCACACCACCACCAGGCCACTGGTGCTGCTGAGCTGGGTTTGATCATTAGCATCCAGGGGAGGGGAGTGAGTCTCAGCTTTACAGCTTCAACGCAGAGAGACTTCCAGGCTCCCACTTGATTTCACCAATGCAGGATGCTTGGTGAAATAAATCTGGACTTCTCATCTCACGGTGCCATTTCCTTGTCATCAAAAATACGTAATTCAGGGCTCAGTGGCAGAGCGCATCTCAATGAAACATGGCCATCTAAGGACTCCTGGGCTGGGGTAGGGAAGGCGCAGTCTGGTAGGGAGAAAGACAATCGGAGGAGAGAGGGGCCCAGGTTAGATGTGAGGAAGAGCTGCATACTCTTATCTGGGATCCGCTCCCAGAATGAAAAAAAAAAAAACTTCAGATTATGTGAAGGGCCACAAACACGCACTATCTGACCTTCCATCAACCACCTTTCTGAGTCTTCAATAAAGGTTCTTACAAAAAAGAGGAAGAAGAACAAGATAACAAGATACAGAGAAGCCATCTGGCAGAGCTTCCTATCTTCCTAACAAAGTCTGTGGAGAAAGAAAAAAATAACACTTTCACAGTGATTGTTACAGATCTCAAAAGATAGCCAGCTCTCCCTGCAGCCCACTGAGCTGGGAAAAAAATATTGCACTCAGCAGACACAAGCACTCCTACTTTTTTTTTTTTAATCCTACCTCCCTGAGAGCCTCCTAAGATGCAGGACTGTTTTCCTGGGTACTCTGATGCTGGGCATGCTCTACTGTTTTCATTAAAAAAAAAAAAAAAAAAAAAAAAAACCCCAAGGGCCCTGCAAATTATACAGCGGGTCAGCAAGGAAAGTAACAGCACCCTGCAACCTCTTTTTAAAGTACCCAGGAAAGACATGGCCCTATCCCGGGAGAACCCTGCATTTCTCCCTTTTGGGTCCCCTAAGATCCCAGCCCCCATTTCTAGGCTCTAGGTTTGCAACTACCTAAAAGTTGGGTACGAGATTTTTGCAAAAGTGGAAAGTTCTTTCCCCGCCACATCCCAAATCACTAAATGTCTTCCAATAAATTCATCCCTTCCAGCTTTCGCCACTTCACCCGAGTGGCCTTGCGGGCAGTTTATTATGGGCAGCAAACTTCCACTTACTGGAGCTATTTGTTTCTACAGAGGCGACCCCAAGCCTTTCATAAGCAAATCCACCGAGTCCACCCCAGGC